AATCATTTTTTGCCAAAACTTGTAAGTACTTTTTTATCTCGCTTTTGAATTTCATCTTGTGATCGACAGATTTTATTGAATGTGGTAAGTTATTCCAATCTTTGATAGCATTATAGAAAAAAGATGATGATTCAACACCTTTTATATAAGGAATGTTGAAATTCAGATCACTGTTCCTGGTAAAGTGTTTTTTCTCTGTTCTAGTAAAATTTTCTTTCATATAGGATGGACATTTGTTATGTTGAATATTAAAGACATGGTTAAAACGGAGTTGTTTCACCCTGCCCCCAACATCCAACATATTAACTTGTTCCTTGTTCGATTGGTAACTCGTGCGCACGGATTAGTAAATGTTTAACCATGGGCTCCGTACCTCATAGATAATCATATAGTAAAGTATATTTAAATGTGTGTCGTTTAATGGTACTGCCTATTTTTTATCTGCATATATGTGAATTATATGAGACAGCATGGTTGTTTACAATGGCTTTCCGTGTTTAATTGTATACTTACGAGATGTCTGTTTTATTTTATTTTGTATCATTTTAATTTTTGACAAAAAATATAAGCTTGATAATTAATATTTATTTGAAACATACATAATTTCTTTTCATGATTAAAAAAAAGAGAGTCCAGCAAGGATCGCACTAATGACGACGAGGACATTGACACGTGTTAATAGGTATGTTTCGGTTTACACCACTGCGTTAGATCTTGTATTACGGTAGAATCGTTTTGTCTAATTCAAATTTTTTAATTACAACTGTATTGATTTCTTCATGCCTACCAAATGTACATATAGTTATGGGGTAGGGTTCTAAACTGTTTAAAACTTATGTCCCAGAAATTAAGTCCCTAGGCTAGGGGTCGGGCCAGACCCAAGGGTCAGTACTATTATCATGATTGTGTTCATCTTTTTGATGTCCAGCAATGGAATTTAATGGTAAAGAGTATTGGATCTCAACTGTTTCAAAGTTATGGCTCAGAAATCAAGTCCATAGGGGTGGGGCCAGACCTAAGGGCTAATTCTTTTATCATTTTTTTTTTTGGAGGGGTCCTTTATATATACAAAATTGAGTCCTCTTTGCCCAAGGTTGCTCTACAACAAATCCCTTCATTCATACAGAAAGAGAAGGATTTTAAATATTTTTCCGTTCTCCCTAATGGACCCGTCCCTCTGCCCCCAGAGGTGCCACACCTTCTGTTTATACAAAACTGAGTTCCCTTTGCCCAAGGATGCTCAGGACTAAATTTGGTTGAAATCGCTTCAATCGTACAGAATAAGAAGAATTTAAAGGTTTATCTCAATTTCCTCCGTTTGACCCGGTCTCTCTGCCCCTAGTGAGTCACACCCTCCTATGTCTAAACATTTACTTCAGGTTGGTAAGTATGGATTATGAAAAGTTCTTGTTACGCAACTAATAAGTGTTTTTAAGTCAAAAATAAGTTAACCTGAATGTGTACTTCTTGAATTTTCATGTTAAGTATTTATTTAAAACCTAGGTGGTTGAGTCTGTTGGTGGAACATTAGCGGGAATTAATTCTAACATGCCTAGACAACATCCTCGATACCCCGTGATAGGGGATGAGAATTAATTCTAACAGGCCTAGACAACATCCCTCATACCCTGTGATAGGGGATGAGAATTAATTCTAACAGGCCTAGACAACATCCCCGATACCCTGTAATAGGGGATGAAAATTAATTCTAACAGGCCTAGACAACATCCCCGATACCCCGTGCTAGGGGATGAGAATTAAGTCTAACAGGCTTAGACAACATCCCCGATACCCCGTGATAGGGGATGAGAATCAATTCTAACAGGTTTAGACAACATCCTCGATACCCCGTACTAGGGGATGAGAATTAATTCTAACAGGCTTAGACAACATCCTCGATACCCCGTACTAGGGGATGAAAATTAATTCTAACAGGCCTAGACAACATCCCCGATACCCCGTGTCTAACAGGCCTAGACAACATCCTAGATACCCCCTGCTAGGGGATGAGAATTAATTCTAACAGGCTTAGACAACATCCTGGATACCCCGTACTAGGGGATGAGAATTAATTCTAACAGGCGTAGACAACATCCCCGATACCCCGTGGTAGGGGATGAGACACGAAGATCAATCCAATAGCTAGCTGCATGCTTTCAATTTCGGTACATTTTTACTGCATGACATATATTTCAGTGGTGCAGAGAGCGTAAGTAAGCGTAACCCCTGGAGTATTGACAATCGGTTTACAAGAAATACTAGATAAAATGATGTGAATTTGTAACATTATAAGGGATTTTATATGTATCTTTCGCCATACACTGTATTTCAAAGTGTTTTGGAACACTTTAGACTTGGATCGTGATTCTATTGAACAGTCTCTTTAAGACCACTGACAAGTCCTAAATGGGCGAAGTAACCATTATGGCTTTATGGTGCAGTAATGTCTTTAGTTTGTTTGGCTTTCTGCATCCAGAAACAATTTTGTAGCAGTTTGCACTTACCCTTCACCAAAGAGTCACCATAAATAATCTAGCATTTACCCTTCACCAAAGGGTCACCATTAATAATCAGCACCTACCCTTCACTAAAGGGTCACCATTAATTATCTAGCACTTACCCTTCACCAAAGGGTCACCATTAAATAACTAGAATGTCTCCCCTTATTAGCCAATAGAAAAACTCCGGTTTATAAAATTAACAAAGGGCCATATCGCTTTATATAGTTGGGCACGAGACCTGAATTTAGAATTCAACACTCCTACTTCCCAAGATACATTAAAACTTTAGCAAGTTTGGTCACCGTAGGTGAAACTAGAACACTGACAGGTCAGTAAGGGCCCCGCCTTGTGGCAATATATCCCTCATAATCAGCAAGAAGTAATCTGCCCATATAGCAGAGCTTGACGTTTGACATATGGACTTCAAAAAAAATGGCAAGCAAGCAAAATATACATTTTACATGTACTATGATGTGAGTCTTGTTTTTCCTTCCACTTCCATATTTGCTGGGCTAACAGAAATGTAAATACCGGTGCAATACCCATTTTTTAGCTTTGATTTGTTTTATTTCACCTTAAATACCTCCCCCATCAAAAGCCAGGGTCAAAGTAAGAGATCCACTTTGTCTTTGACCTTTGGACCCTAATGACCTTGACCTTTAATCTAGTGACCCTGATCTTTGGTCAGTTGACTCATTCTTCAATTCTGACCAACTTTGCTTCATAATGTCATAACAAAATGTTCATCAGTTAAAAACACAAAACTTGACCTTGACCTTGAAACTTTAGAACCCTGACCATGACCTTTGGTCAGTTGACTCCGTGTTAAGTTCTAAACAACTTTGCTTCATAATAACATACAAAAAATGTTCATCAGTAAAAAGATACAATATCTGACCTTGAAATTGACCCAGTGACCTTGACCTTAAGTCAGTTGACTCCTTGTTAAGTTCTGAACAACTTTGCTTCATAATGTCATAACAAAATGTTAATCAGTGAAAATATACAAAATTTGACCTTGACCTTTGACCCAGTGACCTTGACCTTTGGTCAGTTGATACCTTGTTTGATTGTGATGGACGGACGGATGAATTAGTATAGGGCACCCGCATCTTCGATGTTGGGCCGCAATAACATCGAAGTTATTCTGTGGACAAACTTTGGTATTAAAATTAAACAAAGGGCCATAACTCCGTATATAGTGATGCACAAGACCTTATTCCAGTGCTTTGCACACCTTCTGTGAGTGATGCAGGTATACTTCAAGTTTGATTTAGATTTCTTTAATGGTTTAAAAGTTATGCCGTGGACAAGCTTCGGTATTAAAAATAAACAAAGGGCCATAACTCTGTATATAGTGGGGCATGAAATCTGATGTTGGTGTGAGAAATTCCGCCTTCTCAAGATATATCATTATGGTAAGTATGGTCAACGTAGGTGAAATAACATAGAACTTATGCTCTGGATAAACTTTGGTATCAAAATCAAAGGGCCATAACTCTGTATATAGCGGGGCACGAGACCTAATTTCAGTGTTCTGCACACCTTCTGTGGGTGATGCAGGTATACTTCAAGTTTGATTAAGATATCTTTAACGGTTTGAAATTTACGGTCCGGACAAGAATTTACTGAAAATGTGCACTTATTTTACCTCTGACCTTGAGGTGAAGGTCACAGTGACCTAATTCCAGTGCACTGCACACCTCCTGTGGGTGCACGTTATGCATGCATACCTAAAGTTTCATCAAGATATCTTTAAAGGTTTAAAAGTTATGGCCCGGACAAGTCTGATTAGAAAAAGAAGAAGAAGAAAAAGAAGAAGAAGAAGAAGAAGAAGAACCAGTACTGATACAATATGTCTCCCTTCATTCGAAGGGGAGACATAATAATCTAACACTAAGTTACAATCTAATTAGGAACAATAAACTATCCCGATTGATCCACATGTACAAAAACCAAGGTATTGGTGTATTTTGGTGAATCATGTTGATCACATCTGCGAGTAACTCATACTACCTTAACACGCAAACAACATGATGCATAGTCTAATTGGTGCTGTTTCCAATAATCCGACTGACTTTCTGGACAGTTATATCAAATTACCTCAGGTTGTTTCATAAAGTTGAAAATGAATATAGGCAAAAATCAAAACTTTCCAACAAATGGTGTTCAAATTAGAACCACCAACTAGGCCTTCTGCCTAATGAAAGGGAAGCAAAGGAAAAACGTGTGAGTTGAAATGGCAAAACAAATCATCAATGATGTGTTTTATTTACTTCAAATCAAAAATTCTTTTTTTAATTCAATTCAATCATGTTTGTTAGAAAAAAAACATTTATTTTATAGAAATTGGCTCATTTCTTTTAAGAACTTAAAAAGAAATGACTCAATGTGGAAAAGGTTGAAAAAAACACTGCAACAGCACATCAAATGATGCTTTTATACAATTAACGGCCTGTCAATTATATGAGATCACAATAAAATCAGAATTACGATTGGTCAGTTTGTTGTAAAAAATATTTTATTTTTTCTCCACAAAACCTGAAGTTCCACGGGTGCAAAGTGTTCCCCACTGGTTGCAGGAACACTGCTCGAGGTTAATCTTGCAATTAATCAGTTTAATTTTGACATTAATCTAGCTGTAGGAAATGATAATGATTATATATATACATGTACATAATTTAAACTGAAAATTCTCTGACAATGATCTATTACTAGGCTATGCCTGTGACATTGTTCTAGAATCAAGCCAAGAGGTCTAATGGTCGCCCGTTTACATTCCATTTAGAAGTGAAGCAGCCTGTCAGTCTTTTCACACAGCTCCTCCTCCGTTAAAGGTACCCAGCTAAAGCCCATCCAATGGGAGACCTCTTTAGATAGACAGGGCTCACTGTCCAGAATGCCTCCCCCTTCCCTTATTGTGGAGGGAACAGGCAGGCACACCCGGTAGTTATATAGTAACTGTCCTTTCTGTACATGCAGGTTCTGCAATTTGTCAGCCTTCATTGCAAGACACCACACAGCCTCACACGGCAAAGGAATGCCAGCCACGAATGTCCGCAGGTTTCTACACTGGCTGGCAAAGTAGTAGTAATCACATGGTAACGATTCCATGTCATCGTAAGGCGGCAGAGTGGGGTGCAGCATTGACAGGTGGGCAAATGTCTGTAAACTATTGGCGTATAACGCTGCTATGTTTCTCAACACATCCCTTGATAATGCATTTGGCACTTTCCTCAATGTGATAGACACTAAAAATGGGTTTGCAGCAAAGTCGTTTAGTCCTACTCTGATCTCATCAAAGATAAGATGCACTTCAAGGTCCCTCCTTGGTTTGATGTCGTACCAGCGTATGGGCGTCTTACCACTTGTCCATCCCTCTGTGTTTTGGTCTCGGACCAGGTACACATGTTTGAGATTCTGTTGGGACAGGTCCTGTAAGATGGCGGTACTAATGCTACTGTGCTCTGCTTTTAGTGTGTGTAGGCTGTTGAAAGGACTTAAGCCTTTGACAGGTCTGTGACAGTAGCTGTGTAGGGTAAACTCCAGCACATTTACCCTCTCACACATGGACACTTCTTGCATTACCTCGAAAAATTTACAATTTTTAGTTTCAATGTTTCTCGGACAGTCGTCCAAGCTACACAGTTCTACATGCCTTAATGATTTTTTACACAGATTTTTTAATGGTAATAAGTAATCTTCCCACTTCCCTTCGAAAGTGCAGAACATGAACTCGTGATAAATCCTGAGTGATTTGAGACTTGGACAACACTGGGACAGTTTATTGAGCAATTGCACACCATGGCTATTTTCTTGAACATCAAACACGGACAGTGCTATTGTAACATGCTGGAAATATTTCCCAAACTCTTCAATACACTTTTGCTGTTGTTTCCCCTCTTCGATGAAGGCACTGTTGAAACCATCTGGCAGCCCGATTGCCCAGTTGTTGAACTCCACAAAGGCCCATGAAAAGGAGGCGTGGAGCTCGTTGTGCCAGCTGGGGATCACTTGTCCTGCTAAGATCCGGTTCTCCCATTCCAGGAAGGACAGGATCCGACATCTAACAACTGCTGGCAGATTCACCAGCTGTTGGTTCCATGTTGCAGTTTTGTACGTATCTGGTGGATGTTCAACCTACAGAAGAGAAACTCAATAAAGATTTGCATGACCTATCACTCCAAAACATCGTAAACATGATTAAATCATAGACAGAAAGGTCAAATCCCATATCTATGTAACATCATGTAACAGTTAACCAATGTCTTATTATGTACACGCTTACTTATTACGATTATGTCAGAAATGCAATATTAATACATGTAATATGAAGTAACATGTATATCCATACATAAATGTAGCTCTATCCCAGGCATAGCATGTACTAATCTTCACTCAGAGAGCTAGTTAATAATTGAAACACTGACAGTTTTCAATAGTTTACCTCCAAAAGCAAGGCATTTATAGCTAGTTTATAAGTTCAAAAAATTTAAAAGTACATTAATAATTTTTCCCAAGTTTTAAAATCAAATGATTAATGTTATGCATTCAGTCTATTTGTATAAGTCAGAGCTAGTCACTAAATTAGGCTTCAACTTGGGTTGTTTCTGTCATTATGCATGATGATAACAGGGCAAAACGTTACTATTCTTTTAAGGAGTAGATTTCCATATTTTTGGTTATTATGAAGAAATAGCTCCAATTGAGCCTGAGTAACTTTACCACAGACACTGCCATCTCTGTTGTATTTACTTATAATCAACAGAAGTTATCACCCCATAACCTGACCAAAGCAGCCATTCCTCACATTTGTATTTTCCTGTGAATGGTTCTGACTATTTGATAAATTAGTGTGAGTATATTATATATACCTAGCAGATACAAATTTCATTTTCAAAACATTTTAACATCTAATAAGTTCAATGAAGGTAAAAGCCTGAAATTTGCATAAGCCTTGGTTAACTCCGCCCCATTCTACTGCAGATGAGGTCAAACAATTGTGTTACTACATAAAGGAAAAGCCACAGTGCAGTGTTATGAGCACACCTTTAATAAAACCTGGATAGAACTCTGACTTGCTGCAAATTCCAATTGTTTTCAAATGTGAGGTAGCACTTAGACTGTTATATTTTATGGATTTCATGTCAGTCTAGATCTTTTTGTAATATTAATATTTACAACAAAATTCGGCTTTGTGATAAACTGATGTTACATAACTGATTTGAGTTTCATGAGATTTATGACTTGTCATGAATTTTTTGTTCATTTTAGTGCACCAGGGGTTCACTAATACAAAAGATATTGAAGTAAATCTTAATGCAGAAGCTATAGACCATAGATTTAAAACAAACTCTAAATTGTTTATTCTGAAAACATGGTATTTTCAGAAATAAATGATTAAACTTTGCAAGTATTGTAACAACCTCATCTTAAAGACCTGGTTAGAAATATTATCCAATAATCAATATCTGAAGATGTTTTTGAAATTGAATAATAAATTAGAAAGGAGTTTGTGTTTTAATGTGTCATGCAAGAAATAACCCTCATAACTGATCTTACATTTGCGACCTTTCAATGTTTGGTGTTATCAAAACTTCATTATTCAAGTTTACGTTCAATGGAGCACTCCCAAACCGCAAGGAAATCTCATCTAGCTATGGGTTTAATATTACGTTGATTTTCGATGTTTTCTCACGGCATAATATGTTTTGAAAAGGACAGGATTTTTAAATGCAGCGAACTGTATATCCAATATTGCGCAGGTGAAGCGTAACTCGCGATATGACATCCGGTTACCGTGACCAATGGTAAGGTAAAGAGCATTAAGTTAATGCCAATCTCTGTAATATATACTTTTCTGATTCTACATTTCAAACCAACTTTTATCATTTTTGTTCTTTATCTTGGAAAATTTGAAATAGCTGGCATTCATGCTGATATCTCAATATGTTAAGGGGTAAGAACAGTATTTTTGCTTCTCAACTGATGAAGCCCTGACAAACAAATACGGCGCACGGTCCCTCAGGACATGAACTCAATTGGCACATTATTCGGCATATCTTTTACTTTTTGCAAATTGACTGACGATCTCTTTCGTTAACATGCAAACTGACAACTCATCAAAACAATTAACATTAAAAAAACATTACATGAACATAAAACAAATATCAATGTCAAAAAATAAGTCAATCAAGTCTAGAGGACAGAGGTTATGTACATGTGTTCCTAATCATTAATATTTAAGTGAAATTGGCAATAATTACCGCCAACTTTCACAAGTTCAGATATCGTCCATATATAGTTCAATTTCGTATCGGTTGGGGCGATAAAAACTTTTTGGGCGATATAGCTTTGGAAATTGAAACAGATTTTGATGCGAAAACAAAAATGAGTTGAAAATATTAGGGCGATGTGGAAAAAAAAGTTGGGTCGAAATGGTCTGGGACGTAACGGTTTTAGGGCGAAACGTCTCTAATTCATTACGATGTCACCAAATGTAACGATCGTGCTGTCACCCATCCACCGCATCGCTGGAAAAGGTAGCTGTTCAGTAAGGCAGTATTCTTCCCGTAAATTTTTAGCTGTTGCAGTAAAAGTTATAACGAGTTAAGTAACACCAAAGCACACATATCTTCATTTTAGTTTGTATCTTCATTTCAAATGAAAAAGAACTTCTGGCTGGCAAGTACATTGTACTAATATGTGCTATTTACACTTACACGATCACAGTTTTCTTGCATTTTTGTTTCAAAACGCAGCTTTTTCTATAAGGCGGAAACGTCTTTCTGTTGTCTAAAATTAAAAATGGACGCGGATTCCTGATATATTCTGTATCTAGCTAATAACTCCAATAATAATACAATAGACGTATCACACATTCCATCGTTTTTATTTTAAAGTTTAATAAATGTTTAGTCCATTAGGTAGGTCTGTTTTTTTAACAAAAAATAAGTATATATTCCGGATTATATAGGACCTGTTCGTTTTCTTATTACATATATATATTGGAGTTGTTTTCGTATTTGGATGGCATAACTGTGAAAAGCATCATGTATTTTATAATCAAGGACAATATTTATCAAAATAAAATTATATCGATTGCAATAACTTATCTAATTTAATTGTTTTTAGATTGTAAATATCATATTCATTGTCTCAAGCCGAAACTAAGAAAATTGCTTAGAATCCAAAATGGCTGCGGTGTTGCAAGGACAGGTGCGTGAAAATTTGTTTCATAGCTTGTTTACGAATTTCGATGTTTGACTTAACGTGAAATATATGTTGGTTTGGTTTTGAAGACCAACTATATGTTATGACTCCGGAACTGTTGTAGATCATACATAATAGGTCCAGTACACTCTGTCGATTGATACTGACCTATCTGAAATGGCTTAGGCTATTCGCCCGGCAGCCGGGTAACTGAGAGCATAAAGACTAAGTGCCCGGTAGCCGGGTACACGTGTCAAATGACTATTCGCCCGGCAGCCGGGAACACGAAAGCAAAGAGACTATTCGCCCGGAAGCCGTGAAATATCATCTTGTCGGGTCGTACCCAAATCATTTGTTAAATAACGTCGCAAGTAGACTCCAACTTGTCGGTGTGCATCATTTACCAGGTCTATCTAATTGTCTTTTAAAGTTCCAGTTGCTTAATTTCAATGTTTTCCAGTGTCATAGTCGCGGGGTGGATAGTCTTTCACGTCCTCGGTACCCGGCAGCCGGGTAAATACCACGTTTTTGGTACCGGTAGCCGTGTAAACAGCCACCCCCGTCTTTTGAGCTATCACGGATTAATCTAATTCCGTGGTCCTATTTTCATGTGATTTTCTTTTTTACGAAAAACGAAACAAATTCGCTTTCAAAAGAAGATTTTATAATTAGGTTGATAACAAAAGACATTCAAATATAAGTATTCTTTAAAAAAAAATGTAAAAAATCGGAAATTTTACATTAATTTATGAATAATGAAATAAACATCTAAATGCATACCTTTTGTAGTCAAAATTACCATAAACCTTATTGTTATATTCGACTTTGCTTTAATTTAATGAAAATTGAAATCTGAGAAAATATAGCTCAATACATGTACAGCTATAATGTACAGGTGAATATAGCTATATAGGTCTTTAGAGCTATATGTATAGCTCAATCCGCAGAGTGTACTGTGCCGGCATAACCTCCACAAAAAAACGTAGCTATAAACCCAACATATGTACTCACACACCCGGTCTGTAGACCCTCAAACCAGACATGCACACCCTTACACATACTAACACATATCTGCTACAAAGGACACCTACAAATATTCATTCTTTCCACACACAATAACACAATGGAGTCTCCTTCCCATAGCAGCAGTACAATGCACAACACTAGAGGACTTCAAGGCACACATACCCTAAGCATCCCTCATCACACGCTGGCATCACATTTTTGAACCGCTTTGATACGACTTACGAACAGTCAACTAGGTTGGGATAAAGCGGTATATAAGAACTTCAAATTATTTTTATTATTACTTTACTTATTAGAATATAATAATGTTTCATAACAGTGTTATAACTTTGACTGTAGAAAGGCATTAAGGCTGATTTTTGTACATGCTTGTACGACTGTCCGGTTAAATATTTGCATCTAGGTCAGTTAAAAACAGCTTTTAACATAACTGTTATTGACTAATTATATATAAATAATTACTCCAGTTAGTTCTGGACACGTAAGTGTTCCTCTGTGAGTAAAAGAGTGTTGCATGACTTCCTGTAACCTTGACCTTAGCTTGGCCTCTGCGAGACTCTGCTTTACTTTTTAAGTTAAGAGCATACGTAGGGCATCCATGTCTGACAGACACATTTCTAGTTGATTAAATAATGGTTCGGTATTTTTTTGACAGACATGGTGCCTGCTGAGGAAGATAACTCAAACAAGTGTTGCATCTCTACGGTGTAAATCTACTGTCAGCAAGACCTTATGGCTGCAGCGAGAGCAGGACACAACATGGGCTGAGCCTCTGCTGGATTGGCCAAGGGAACAACGTGAAATACGGAAACAAAAAGTGTCCCCTTTGCACATGGTGGTCAGAATCCATGACCTCAAAGGCCTACCAAAAAAGGAAAAACAAATGGCCAAGAATCTTGGATTTGGGGAAGGTACAAAGGTCAGTACAATGAATTTCTTACACTAAAATAAATGAGTAAGTTTACACTTAACAATGTTTAATTCTTTTGCTTTCCAATTCTAAAAGAAATTTTTTGAGTTTTTTCATTTTGAACATATTTCTCCATTGATAAAATAAAAATCCATTACAAATGGAGTTTCATGGTGCCCCACAGTAACTTAGCAGTCTGATATACTGAACTTCCTAAATCAGTTGAAGCATACAACCTCATTATGATCAAGGAGGCAAAATATTACACTTTGTATTGATTCGTTTGATCCCTGTCCCAAATAAAATAATATCTAACACTTATGAGTCTCTCAAGCTGTAATGTAAAGGAAGTGAAGTCTGATTTCACCTTGAGACAGACTCAAGTATCTTGATATTGGAGCAGCATCCATGGTAGATTGGTTGCATTTGACCAATTAGTAAGTCTAGTCTAGAGTTTTATGTATTTCGATCACAGGACACAGATTTTCTCTTCCATGGACAATCCATTTTCCTTCAGACCCATGAATTAAAAATGCAGATGTAAATGGTCATTCCCCTTACGCCCTTTATTGTAATCTTGTAAATATGTTAATAGAACCTGATTTATGAAGAATTTGTAAAACACAAAATATTATTTAGAACATGAAAAAGGCCACTACTACTAATTATATACATTAGTGATCAGTGTACATTATTTTTAAGATTTGACTTTTTCTTGGGTATTATAATACATGAATTATTACATAGATTTTTTTGTTATGATGTTATTTTTGTACAAGGGTTGATTATATTGTTTTCCTTGAGACACTTGGACAAGCTGAGAAAATGAGTTTCAGTATCGAAAAATTTTGAAAATTAGAATATGGTTAGATGAAGAATAAAAAGTATAACATTTGTGCACATTTACCGGTAGTTCTATATTTCACTAACTCCCATTTACATTCTTAGTTGATTGTCAAAATTTTTAGGCATTAGGTCAGTATAATTGAGGCAAGACTTTTTATTTAACAAATACATATATACAGGCTATGGCAGAAAATCTTTTGTGAATTCAAAGAGAAAAATGATTGATTAAATTCTGTCGCATGAAGAGAATCGGTTAAACCATTGTGCTGTATAGTTGGTAAAATTTGTGATGTGATATTTTCTCAGTAGAAACAGGTGTTTTATGCATTGTAAATCAAGTGCTCTTGATTAGTCAGAAGAAGCAAGAAAATAATAGTACTGCAAAAAATGTCCACTCTACAGTATACTTTACCTCTACATTATGAATATTTCAGAAGCTGAAGAAAGTCCTGTTGAAGAATACCCCTAGTATCAATGAACAGCTGAAATTCGTACAGCATCTGCTGAGAATTGTACCCGTAACATTTCCCTATGGTCTTCCGGAGAACGAAGAAGACTGGGAACACTGCTATATCCGAGACAACGGAGAGTTTATTGTGCGACGGAAGATCCCAAGTGCGGAGGAAAGCATTCCGGAAGACATAGGGACAACAACAGACAGAGAAAACTCAGTGTGGGATATGGACATAGAAACGGTTAAAAAACAAAATCAAAAGAAATTAGTACAGTATGATATAAATTCAGAATTTTTCAAGCCTCAGTATGCATATAAAAACAATAGTGACGGTAAAGAACACAGATATTTTGGAGATAAAAGATTCGGTGGAAAAGGAAGAACCTGGTACTGAGCCGTTGGACATCACCTTATGTTTCCATAATTTATGTAATGCAGCTGCCTGCCGTTCATTAAATCTTAATAGTATTTTATCATCAGCGACTTTGTTATATTTTAAATCATTTAGTATGTATATATACTAATTTTCCTGAACTTTCCTTTACCATAGCGATAGTCTGACTTACATAATTGTACATGTAACTCATTGTTGTCTGGTAATCAGATGGGACTTTGAAACTTCTAATTCAACTGTTTTGAAATCTGCTTTGGGAAATTATCTGTAATCAGGGAAAGAAAGAGTGGATACTGTAAATTGTGTGTTGACACTAAAACACACATGTCTATAAATACTGTTGGTCTTTATAGACTGGTTCAAAATTTGCATAAACCAACAATATTTGATTTTGGTATATTTGTTACTTTTGGAAAAATGAAAAGAATTATTATTGATTTACTACAAATAACTGATAGATAAATAAAAACTGATAGCAAGTATAGGAATCTGATCACTAAGAATTAAAACAACACATCTATCTTCTTTTATTAGTCCCCCATTGGTTCCTGGGAGGGACTATAGGTTTGCACTCCATCCGTCCGTCCTTCTGTCCTTCCGTCCAAGAAGTTTATCCGGGGCATATCATCTATACTATTTCACCTGGAGTAAACAGATTTGGTGAACAAGGACATCTTAGGATGGCAGAGTGCAAGAATTAGGTCACTGTGACATATGACTTGACCTTTGACCTTTACTTTCGAAAAAAGCTTGTCCAGGGCATATCTTAGCTTCTATACTATTTCACCTGGAGTAACCATATTTGGTGTGCAAGTACATTTTGGGATGGCGAGTGCAAGAGGTAGGTCATTATGACCTCACTGTGACCTACAAATGTATGCTTTGAACGGTAGTTACATCCTGACATATTGTAAGTGTACTGTTTGTTAAATATAGAAATAATTACCGGTGGGGGATTATGGATTGCCTTACAATACTTTGCCTTCAGTCAGCTGGAATAGGCGGATAGTTCACCCACACTATTTTAACAATAAAAATAATAATTTTCTGTCTAGTGATAGTTCAAACCCTGCTTACACCCGTTTCTAATTGTCCGATCACACAATTTGAGTACTGAAATTGCGTAATTATTGATCGAGGTTTGCTAGCAATGATGCAATAATAGCCATGCGAAACTCGCTTAAACTTATCTATTTTCGCATTGACAGCGTTAAACTACTGAATAACGGGTAGTACTCATGTGCGACCATTGTTGTTATCGATGTCAAACAATTTGAACATTAATAAGCCACATGACACCGATGATTGTGTTTCTTTCTTGTAACCATGTGCATGCGCCAGTCAAACATCTTTAGGCCCCGACCATGTATAATATCCTAATTACAGTACACAGAGCGCGGAATATTACCATCACATCGCTGACAGATGTGTGTATTGTCATGATATTACTGTGATTATAATTTGATTATATAATTGCAACCTGGCCACCACTCTTTATTACTAAATTAATATATTTCTGATGCATGTGCCAAAACAAACATACTTGACCATGTGGTCAATCGAACTATTAATCTGTAATTGTAGTTTCAATCCACCCTCCTCATTCTGATACATTACAATCGAACATCTGTCAATACTCGAGAAATACATCTACTGCTTTGCGGCCTACATACTTGTCTCTGCTTTGTGATTGAACTTAATAATAGATAATTAATATGTAAGTAAATATAGGAAAGATATATATACCATTATCTCATCTCCATATTTTCATATATATATCGCAATATGCCGTCATTGTTCGGTATCAACCACTTGACTGTTTGCTGTGATTTTAACCGATGTCGACTCGGATGGTTCAAACTACATTTTTAGCGGCTATAATTTTGTGTAATTCGAACAGGACTGACAATATTTATTTATTTTTGTTCGATCTGACCGGAGGTTTACTGTTCTGGTATTTAACTCTTTTTGAAAAGCCATAAAGTGATGCCTCAACTACTGTAGAGAGGTCATATTTCATGACAGTTTGATTTTTACTTTATTCCTGGTCAGAACACAATGCACACATTTCAAACTCCCACAAAATATTTCGTGTGTGAATGTATTACAATTCACATTTGCTCTCCATTACCACGAAGTAAACCTGACAATTCAGCAGTGAGTTTTGAGACCACAATGATGGCCGCGTTGGCCAAGTGGTTTTAAAGGCATCTGACATTCTGCCTCCACTAGGCCTCCACCACTGGGTCGCAGGTTCGAGACCTACCTGGGGCAGTTGCCAGGTACTGGCCGTTGGTCAGTGGCTTTTCTCCCAGTACTCCGTCTTTCCTCCACCACCATAACCTGGCACGTCCTTATATGTCTGAAAAATTTTTTGATATGACATTATCAAGTAAAGTTGGTGAGAATTTAACAAAGAGTCAACGGACTTGAGGTCAAGGTCACTGGGGCAAAGTTCAAGGTCAAATTTTGCATATTTTCCCTAATAAACTTTTTGTTATGACATTATGAAGCAAAGTTGGTGAGAATTTAACAAAGAGACAACTGACTTAAGGTTGTCGGTATTTACATATCTGTTAGCCCAGCAAATATGGAGGTGGAAGGAAACAAGAATCGCATCATAGTACATTTAAAATGTATATTTTGCTTACTTGCAATTTTTTTGAAGTCTAAATGTCAAATGTCAAGCTCAGCTATATGGGCAGATTTCTTCTTGATGATTATGGGGAATATATTGCCACAAGACGGGCCCTTACTGACCTGTCAGTGTTTTAGTTTTGTTTAACGTCCTATTTATCAGCTTAGGTCATTTAAGGACATGCCTCCATGTGTGTAGTGTAGGCGTGTTTGCGTGTGTGTATGCAGGAGGCAGGGTATGTTGGTGTACTTGACTCCTTGTGATAACGCGGATCTGATGTTGACTTTATAGTGCTATCTCACTGAAATGCCATGCCGAAGGCACTCAGCACAGCATTACGCCCGGTCACATTATACTGACAACGGGTGAACCAGTTGTTGCCATTCCCCTAAATGCTGAACGTTAAGCAGGGAATAACAACTACCATTTTTAAGGACTTAAGTATGTCCCAGCCTTCCTCACCTGGGCGAATGCTCAACATTCAAGCCAAAAGTGAGGTGTTGCCAAGCAAGGCACTAGGAAATAAAAGGTAGAAGGGCGCAGCAGATTTATTTTGGTCGCTTTTGTGTCCCCAAATAGAGGAAAACAAAGCAAATCCCCAATAAAAAGTAGGTCTTCTATCTATTTTAATACTGTCATTATACCAGATAGGTTGGGAAACAATTTGTTGTGGGGTTGTGGGTGGTTTATTTTTCTACAATGGATGAACATATACATAAAATTTCTTTCCAAAAAGTGTCAAAAACAATTGAACTTCTAACTAATCCTTCTTTAGTCATTCTGAAATTTTTATCCCCATCAAATAATTCTATCTTATCTAATACTAAAGTTTCCAAGGCGAGCAATGAATGGGATTTAAAAGCTTTTTTATCCAGGAGAACTTCAGTGCATGACAAAAAGATTTAACATGACGAACTTGTAATCCACCTTCATTGTGATCGCCATACATAACATTTCGTTTAATTTTATCAATCTTCCCTTTCCATATAAAATTAAAGATAGTCGACTGAATATTTATTTTTTTAAATCAGGTGGATCTGGAAGTACAGTTAAAGTTTGTATTAAAATTGGTAAAGCTAAAGATTTTAAACTGTAACTCTTCCTGTGTATGAAAGATTCCTAAAGGACCAATTACCAAGCAGAATTTTTATTGACTTTATTTTTTCTATGAAATTATCATCATATATATTTTCCTTTTGAAAGTTATATGTGATGCCAGTAATTTAAACTTCCCCTGATAATTCCAAAGTAGTTTTCTATGGGGAAGAATTTCCAAACCACAACCCCGCCTGGATCAAATCCCTATGGCTTGCGTTTTCTCCATATTTATTTTAAGTCAGGAAACTACTGCAACATTTTCTGAAGTAACTAGAACTGTTTACAATACGTTAGGATCATCTGAGAGAGTGAATGATGTATCGTCTGCAAATTGATTTACTAAATACTCAGAATTACTTATATTTATACCAGTTATGTCAGGGTTATATTTAATTGCTGCACTTAGCAATTCAACACATAAAACAAAGATATAAGGACTAATGGGATCTCTTTGTCTGACACCCCGTTGTATTTCAAAAAATTCTGAACAATTTCCATTATTTGCAACACAACAATTATAGTAATTATAAAATGTTTCAATCCACTCAATGATTGATGGACCAAAATTATAGAATCGTAGTGTTTCAAATATAAAATTTGTTTCTTAGAATCAAAAGCTTTCTCAAAATCTATTAGTAGAAGCATACCCGGAATATTTTCTTTTTCAGTACAATTCAATAAGTCACCTTTGGTTTAAATTCATTCATTTGTACAGAAGGAGGACCGACCCTATGTCCCAAGGGAGCCACACCCTCCGTTTATACAAAATTGAATCGCCTTTGGTCTACAACCCAAATCTCTTTAAAAACCACTAAGTCATTCAAGACTAGTATCGTTTTAAAGGAAAAGTTGACGGTCGGACGACAGACGTCGCGCCACGGTATGATATTGGTGTGATCATTCGCGGCATGTGACAAGGCTGTAGTTTATCTCGTACTTTGTCCGCGATAACCACATAAAAACTTGTGAAGTTGGCGGTAAAATCTGACGTCGCATGCTTTATGACGTCATTTACTATGCTTGGCTGCCATTGTTGCCGCTTCAAGGGTAACATTTCGGAACATTTCCGCCAAAAAAAAATGCTTTTAAAGCCGGTATTTAACTGAACTTCCCACTAAATTCACGTAAGGCAGAATGTTCTCTAGACGCGATAAAATACTTCAGGTTTTACTTCAACACCTCCATTGATATCAGTAGCATGACATAACACATTTGTACAGTCATGTATATATACATTGTAGCTCCATGTTGATGTATTCAAACAAACACAATAAAAATGGAAAATGGTGACGGTCACACGAAGAATGTAACGGTTACACAATTATTCGGCTGGTCGTTTCGTC